GGAATCAGGGATGGCAAGACAAAGGGCAAGGTATGCAGGACATAAGAATTGGAAAATTATTTGCTGAGAACATATATGTGGATGTACTTGATTGAGACAATGCACAGTGTATTTTGGATGGAAAATTCATTTGTGTATTGTGATAGTGTAAAGTGAATTAATAAATAAATTAAAAAAAAAAAAACATGCCAGGTGTGCATAAGCCTAAGACCTGACAAACAGGAGGGCTAGAGGGAGAGAACTGTGACAGGACAAGACTGTTGAGAATGTACCCCACGTTCTTTCTCATGTGTGTACACATGCACTCTCTCTCATGAATAACATATATCAACTTTAAAGTATAAATTCATTTGGGTACCAAAAGAATTGAAATCCACTGCACAATTTTTCCATAATGTACATTTCCTATGAACTTTTAATTTTTTTTATTTTTTACTTTTGCTAAAGGGTATATGCCCTCACCGGAGAGACAGAGAGAAATCACCCTCTGGAGGGCGGGGGGTGATGGCCATGCTGCAATCCTTTCTCCATTCTACTTGGGATTTGGGGCACACATGCCCAGAGTGTTTTTCAAACCACCAGGTCTGGTACTCAAATCATGCAGTTTGCCATGTGGGAAGCTGTGGCCATGTGGCCAGCTGCTCTACCACATCACTGGCTTGCCCTATTAATTTTTTTGAAGACTCTTTACAGGTATAAAAAACAGAAATGGAAAGACACTCTTACCACCCGATCCCAAAAATTCGTATTTAAGGATAAAATTAATATCTACACAGAAAATCCAAGAAATCTATAAACTTCTAGCACTAACAGCAGTGCTCAGCAAGGTGGACAGCACAGGATTAATAGGTAAAAGCCTACAAACACTTCTACCCACACTAACAATCAAGTAAGAACAAGATGTCAAAACTACCCAATTCTGAAACTACTTTGTACATACTGTAAAGGTTCTCGCTGTGGTAGAGGGAGACACATACGTGGAATGGGGGAAGTAAGGGGGAGAATTAGAGGGATCAGCATGTACTCAAGTTTCTTACAGTGCTACATATTTCCTCTTCCTGTTTGACAGGGCCTAGGAAAAAGTCAATTCATACTAACAAGCAGAGCTAATGCCTAAATCTTGATTTTGAAATGACCAAAGGGTTCTTTAGAAAAATAGCAGATTCCAGGGATCATACAAAGCTCAAGAAGAATCTTTTTTTAAATAATTATTTTATTTAATTTTATTTCTTTCCTTCTTTATTTTAATTTGAACAGAGAGGGACAGAGACAGAGAGAAACAGAGGGAAAGTGAAAAAAGCAAGGTTTGGGACTTAAACCATGGTTGGCCATGTGGGGTCCAAAGCTCTTAACCACCACACCAGCTGCCGGCCACCTCAAGAAGAATCTGGAATTTAACAGTTTATAATGGAGACGCCTCTCCAAGATGGAGTCGTGCCTGCTTAATATCTTCCTTAGCTCTTCCCTCCCCAGGCGGGGCTGATGCCCTAACCAGCCTGCCTAAGCCCGGGCAGAAAGTGTGCACATGCATGCTCTCCATTATTTAAAAAAAAAGAATAATGGGAGCCGGAAGGTGGCATGGTGGTTAAGGGCACTAGACTTCCACATGGACAACCATGGTTCAAGTTCTGGACCTGGTGGCTTGCTTTTTCACTTTCCCTCTCTCTCTCTGTCTCTCACTCTACTCCCTTCTGTCAAGTTTAAAAGTAAGCAAATAAATAAATAAATAAAGTTAAATAAAATAATTATTAAAAAAAGAATAATGAGCCAGTCAGTAGTGAGGTGGTTAAGGCTACTGGATCTCACATGGCCAACTGTGTGGTTCGAGTCCTGGACCTGGTGGCTTGAAAAACATGCCAGGACTATTTGAGGATATGTTCTATCAAACAAGAAGAAAAGCAAGAAAAAAGACATGACCAGCAGGTGGCACAGTGGTTAAGGCAGCTGGACTCCCACATGGCTGACCACGGTTCGAGTCCTGGACCTGGCAGCTTGGTTTCTCACTTTCTTTCTCTCTTTCTGTCTCTGGTCAACTTCAATTAAAAAAAAAAAAAATGACAATAAATGAAGTTAAAGAAAAAAAGAATCTTAAGTATCTACTTAAGGTATAAAATAAGGGTGGGTTACATGGCAAAACCCACATGCATCTGAAGGACGCCCCTCCCCAGACCAAACTGGACACAATCTGTACAAGAATACAGATGACACTGATGGATTAGAATAAGGAATAAAACCAAACCCACAAGCCCAGGCTCATTAAAAAAATAAATACTCAACAAAATAAGTGAATGGAGATGGATAAGTGATAGCTTCTTTACCTTAGGATACTAATTAATTAATGTGGAAGAAATGATAGTTAGAAAAAGTCACTGCAACTATAATATTAAGAATATGGTTTGGGACCAGCAGGTGGCATGGTGGTTAAGGCGCTGGACACTCCCACATGGCTGACCACGGGTTCGAGTCCTGGACCTGGTGACTTGCTTTCTCACTTTCCTTCTCTCTCTCTGTATGTCTCTCTCTGGTCAAATTAAAATAAAATGAATGAATGAATAAAAGTAAATAAATAATTCTTTTTTTTAAAAAAAAGAACATGGTTTTAGCCTAGGATTATAAATGAATGCTGAAACTACTGGTAAACATTTACTGGAGAAGAGCACATTTACACTCTCAAAATATTCCATAGAAGCTACCTGTTTACAAAAGAGAGAAACATGGTCTTTATGTTAGGAAAAACTAGCAGACATCAGCTTCACCAAGCAATTAATATAATCACTAAGGGTACAAACAGATAACAAAGGCTCTCTGACATAATAATGACAGAATAATATACTAAATGGTAGCCCCTCTGAAAATGAATCTCTCTCTTTTTTAAAATAATTATTTTATTTAACTTTATTCATTTATTTTTAATTTGACCAGAGAGGGACAGAGCAAGCGAGAGAGAGAGTGAGAGAGAAAGCCGTCTGGGATTCGAATGGTAGTTAGCCATGTGGGAGTCCAGGACCCTTAACTGCTACACCACTTGCTGGCCCCTGAAAATGAATCTTTTTTTTTTTGTGGGGGAGAGGTTTTTGCTATAGGGCATGTGCAGTCACCAGAAAAACAGAGAGAAACAGAGAGACAGAAAGTAAGAAATCACCCCCCAGGGGGAATGGTGACACCGCAATCCCTTCTCCTCTCGGGATCTTGGGCACATGCACACGTGCCCAGCATGAGTTTTAGCCACCGGGTCTAGGACTCGAATGGCAGTCGACTACATGGGAGTCCAGCAACATAGCCGTTATGCCAACTGCTGGTCCTGAAAATGAATCTCTTGAATCTAACCATTAGCAAACAATGTGACAAACCAAATCAAATGACATACTACAAAACTGGCCTAACTGCACTCTTAAAAAACATCAATATATGAAAGTGACTGAAAAACTAAAGATTTGTTTCAGACATCAGTACTGTGATTAAGAGAATATCTTCTTTGTGAGGAATTACAAATGGAATTATTTATGGATAAAAGGTCACAGTGCTGAAAGCTTTACTCTCAAAACAGCTCAAAAAACAAAATTAAACACATGAAATAAAAAATGGATTCTAGGAGAGCAATTATTTAAAGGGCAATGGCTTAATAAAAACAGTGCATTTTCTTAACACTAAAAGAGAAATTACACAATGAGATATTTGCAGGGGGAAAACTTGAAGCTAGAAATAAATAAATGCATGTCAAATATGTAGGACATTTTTTTTTATTGAAAAATATGAACAATTAATGACCCACTGGGATGGTGTAACTGGCATGCTGCCTCCTACCTGTTGTCACTTCGGGTTTCCATGGCCACGGGATTAGGAGAGGCCCGATGTCCTGAGATGGGAATTAGGCTGCTCCGCTCTGCAGGGTAGTCAGGCTGGATTCGAGGAGAAGTGTGTGTGATCTGCTGAGGCACCACCTTAGCTACAAACAGAAAATCCAATCACATTACCACTCAGACACTTTTAATGGTGTGCCAAAACATTCTTGGTTAGCAGCACTCTTATCAATGCAAGCAGTTATAAGTCTGGATTCTTAGTTTTGATCAAAATTTTAAAAATGAAAGATGAGTACATAAAGTTTAACTGAACTTTTTCAATCCAATAGTACACTAATATATTCATACTGCTATTTGTTAGAGCAGGGTTTGAATGTTACAGAGGACAGTGAGGAGGCTGGCCTGGCTCCCATTCTCACAGCCATTGCAGCACACTGAATCCAGAGACTGCGCTGGGGCAAGTAACAGCTGAATGGACAGTGGGCGATTCTGCCTCACAGGGGAAAGATAACTAAACATGGGCAAAGGAGAGTCTAAGAAGCAGAGAGGCAAATGTCATCCCAGGCATTCTTTGTGCAAACTTGCCGAGAGTAGCACAAAAAGCAGCACCTAGATGCTTCAATTTCTCAGAGTTTTCTAAGTGCTCAGAAAGGTGGAAGACCATGTCTGCTAAAGAAAAAGGAAGAGTTGAAGATATGGCAAAGGCAGACAAGGCACGCTATGAAAGAGAAATGAAAACCTATATCCCTCCTAAACGGGAAACAAAAAAGAAGTTCAAGGATCCCAATGCACCCAAGAGGCCTCCTTCAGCCTTTTTCTTGTTCTATTCTGAGTATCACCCAAAATTCAAAGGAGAACATCTCAGCCTATCCATTGGTGATGCTGCAAAGAAAACTGGGAGAGATGTGGAATAACACTGCTGCAGATGATAAACAGCCTTATGAAAAGAAGGCTGGTAAGTTGAAGGAAAAACACAAAAAGGACATTGCTGCATACTGAGCTAAAGGGAAGCCTGATGCAGCAAAAAAGAAAGTTGTCAAGGTTGAAAAGAGCAAGAAAAAGAAAGAAGATGAGAAAGCTGAGCAAGAGGAGGAAGGTAAAGATAATGATGATGATGAAGAGTAAGTTGGTTCTAACAGGGTTTTTTTCCTGGATCTATAAAGCATTTAACCCCTGTGTACACCACTCCTTTTAAAGAAAAAAAATGAAGGGAACCAGTAGTTAGTGTAATGGCTATGTCGCTGGACTCCCACGTAGTCGACCACGGTTCGCGTCCCGGACCCGGTGGCTTAAAACTCACGCCGGGCGTGTGTGCGTGTGTGCCCAAGATCCCGAGAGGAGAATGGAGGAGAAGGATTTGCAGCATGACCATCCCCCCTGGGGGAGTGATTTCTCACTTTCTGTCTCTATGTCTCTCTCTGTCTGTCTGGCGAGAGCACGCGCCCTATAGCGAAAATCTCTCAAAAAAAAAAAAAAAAAGAAAAAAGAAAAAAAATGAAATGTAAGGCTGTGTATAAGACTTCTTTTTAAACTGTAGTGTCTTTTTTTGTATAATTAACACACTACCGAATGTGTCTTTAGATAGCCCTATCCTGGTAGTATTTTCAACAGCCACTAACCTTGCCTAGTACAGTATGGGGGTTGTAAATTGGCATGAAAATTTAAAGCAGGTTCTTGTTGGTGCATAGCACAAATTAGTTATATATGGGGATGTTCCTCTTGGGATTTTGGGCACACATGCACACACGCCCAGCATGATTTTCAAGGTGCCAATCAGGGACTTGAACCAGTCAGCCATGTGGGATTCTAGTGCCTTAACCACCATGCCACCTGCTGGCCCCAAGGGCAGTCTTACTTCTAAAGCACACAACGTTAAAAATACAACAGCTGTCCCCAGTCTCTGGGGGTGGAGAACAGTAGGATGTTATGCTCGTCCATACAGAACCAAGGCAGAAGGGTAGGATAAAGCTGCTGCTTTGGAAGCTGAGACGATGACATACAAGCCCCCAAGAGAGGTGACAGCAACCCACAGCCCTATGAAAATAATCTGAAATTCAAGTTATCTATGCCTGTGGGTGAAGTTTCAACACAGTCATGCCTGTTCGTTTCTAAGTTGTCATGGCCACTTTCTTGAGACCATAAAGGAACTGGAAGTCATGACGTACACCCATCTGCTCTGCAAAGCCGAAAATATTTACTATTTGGCCTAACAGAAAATATTTTCCAGTCCCAGAAGTTTAGTTTCTAGAAACAGTTTTAATATCACAGGGCATGTAAACGAGACACACATTAATCTACACATTCACACCACTGCCAAATGTTCTGGTCACACAGAATTCTTGTTTCTTTAAATTTTCTGCCCATTCAGGATCCTGGGCACACATGGTGCTGACACTTGAACAGTGGTCACCGTGTGGGAGTCAGCTTTCTCTGTATAGCACCTGTTATGTTATGGGGGTCCCAGCTTTCAAAAACTTTTTAAAGATTTTTATTTAAATAATTTAATATATGTGTGTATGTATAAATAAATATATTTAACTTCATTCATTTATTGTTATTCTCCAATTTGACCAGAGAGAGAAAGAGAGAAATGGAGAATAAGAAAGCAAGTCTTCAGCTCCAGGACTCAAACTATGGTTGGCCATGTAGGAAATCAACGCCTTAACCCCCACACCACGTGCAGGCCCCTTAATGCGTATTTTTTTTTTTTTTTTGAGAGTTTTTCGCTATAGGGCGCATGTACTCGCCGGACAAACAGAGAGAAACAGAGAGACAGAAAGTGAAAAATCACCCCCCCCCCAGGGGGAATGGCCACACTGCAATCCCTTCTCCTCCATTCTCCTCTCAGGATCTTGGGCATGCACACACACGCACCCAGCATGAGTTTAAGCCACTGGGTCTGGGACTCGAACCGCGGTCGACTACATGGGAGTCCAGCAACATAGCCATTATGCTAACTGCTGTTCCCACCCTTAATGTGTATTTTTAATTGCCAGACGGGATGTGAGCTCTCTAGAGAGAAAGAGAGAGAGAAAGTACCCCCAAATAGGGCCTGCTCATGTCGTTTCTCCATATTGTCAGAATTTGGGGCATGCAAAGATACATGCCTAGTATGTTTTTCAAGCTGCTAGAGCTGGGATTTGAACCACAGCTGGTGATGTGGGACCCACATGCTACTCTCTTAGTTACCCGGCTATGTGGTGGGCCCTATAAGATTTTAAATACCTAAAGTTTACATGTACTTAAAAAGGGAATGACAAAAGTCTTGAAAAATTATAGCATCATTATAAAGTGTCTTGGGCAGCACTCAAGAAAATCTAGGGTAACCAACTCAAGGTTTAGTGCTCTTTTCACTTGGATTACCCAGAGATTGTTCCTGAACAATCTATCAAAGTGTGCAAGTCCCCATCACTTCAGATCTTTGCCTTACTTACTTTTCCTGTGTGTTCTTGTTTAACTATGTTAGTAAAGTTGAAGTATTTTTATAAAAGTACACATATAAGAGGTAATGCTTGATGAGTAAGAAAGGAAAAACTAGAAGTCAAAGTTTACTTTGAGTTATCCTCGTTCTTCCCTACTGTCAATGCCAATTCTATGTGACAAATAATATATTTTTAAATAATTATTTTATTTAACTTTATTATTATTTTCAAAATATTTCCAGAGAGAGAGAGGGGGAGAGAGGGAGAGAGGGAGAGAGAGAGAGAGAGAGAGAGAGAGCGGAGAACCCACTACACCACCTGCCAGTCTCATGACAAATAATATATATATATTTTTTTTGGGGGGGGGGAGAGGTTTTCGCTATAGGGCGTGTGCGCTCGCCAGACAGACAGAGAGAAACATAGAAACAGAAAGGGAGAAGTCACACCGCAATCCCTTCTCCTCCATTCTCCTCTCGGGATCTTGGGCAGGCGCACCCGCGCCCGGCATGAGTTTTAAGCCACTGAGTCTGGGACGTGAACTGCAGTCGACTACGTGGGAGTCCAGCGACATAGCCATTACGCTAACTGCTGGTTCCCAATGACAAATAATATTAAAGGCTAAATTCAATGCGGCTCTGAAAATTGATAACAAAATTATGTGTGTGTGTGTGTGTATAAATAAATAAAAATAAAAATCAATGGTCAGCTATTAACTTGAAGGGCTGACCAGAGGAGCTAAAAGATGCCTCATCACCATCTGTCCGAGGGAGGATGCATGATACTTACCGACTGGGATGTTTGAGGTGGTCACGGCGGTAGCGTGGGATGAATGAGAGGGCATCGTCATGGTAACAATTGTACTTGTGGGAGCTTGTGTGTGTGACACAGATCCTAAAATGGGGGAAAGAAGAATATTCTTCAACAGTGGCCTCTCTGTACACATAAGAGATTCTTTAAAACTTAGGAAAATCTTCTGGGCAAAGTTAAGAGCTTTTCCTAACCACTGTATTTCTCTGACTGACGGTGAGAAATGAAAAATTAACTCAGTGCTTAGGCCTCATTTTCCCCTGGCAAGAAGAGGGGCAGGGTCACTAACTCACCAGCTGTGGTTGCTGAAGGAATGGTGTTGGTTGCCAAAATAGGTGCTACTGTTGCTGCAGCCACTGGTGTGCCAGTACTAAAAATTGTTTTCTGTTGGGAAACCCAGAACACATAGTTATCAGCAAGAATGTTTCCCACTCCGTCCAATTTCCAAGCAATCACTGCCTTCATTTGTTACTGTCAGGTTGTGGGCAAGCTGTGCTCAATTCTGGTTTTACCTGAGCCATTGTATGAAGCTGCTGTTTTGGTGTCCCTAATGCTGGATGAGAAGGTAGTGTGATTCTTGTTGTTACGTCCCGTGACTGGGCAGGTCGCTGAATACTAATTGCTGCAGATGGAGGGTGCTGGATAGACAAAGTTGGCCGACTGAAAGGAAAAAAAAGACATTATGATTTATAACCTGTCCAGATACAGTGCAGATCATCAAGGTCACTGCTATCCTGTGCCAGATTATAATCATGCAGTTATATTTTTTCAAAGGCTTGTGAAGTGCATAATTAAACCAACACTTGGTCTTTAATCACACTAATTAAGCCAATGGCTCACTGAGTTTCTTTCCCGAAACTGCCTTAAGTCTCATTTAAAAAGTTATCAACATGTATTACAAACTGAGTAAATTAGTCCTTAGGATTCTTGATGTGATCCGTCAACACTCCATAACAATCTTGAGTGCACATTATAAATTATTACGACCATATTTTACTCTGTGGACAAATCTGTAGATATGTAACAACTGTTTCCACATTTTTTTTGAGGTTTTTGTTATAGGGCTCATGTGCTTGTCAGAAAGACGGAGAGAGACATAGAGATAGAAAGCTATCAGCCCCCAGGGGGGACAGCCACGCCACAATCCCTGCTCCTCCATTCTCTTCCCGGGATCTTAGGCATGCACGCACATGCACCTGGCGTGAGTGTAAGCCAACTGCTGGTCCCCAGTGTTTCCACATTTCATGAGGGAAGATTATACAAACAAGCTTGATTGCCTGCTAAACCCTGAAGCATTGACCTTCCCTCTGCTTTATACCATTCCTTATTAGACATAAGCTTTCAAAAAGATAAAAAGTACAAGTTATGATTGCCTAACTCCTGATGGGGACACCAACAGGAACAGCATGCCAAAATAATCTATAGCAAGCCACTGAAATTGTGACAAAAACACAATAATGTAATACAGATGGCTTCTTAAATCAGAGTGGGAAAAGGACTACTTAATAAAGGTGTTTGGAAGAATATTTTGCCTTTCGAAAAACCTGCCACTGCACTCAGACCTCAGGTAGCACACCTGAATAAATCCTAACGGGATCAAAGATTTAAAAGCAATGACATAAAGAAAACATGGGGAAATTCTTTCATAATTTTGGAGCAGGGGATGGCATTCTATCAAAAGCTATATAAGAACATATCAAGAAATCTGACAATGTGAACAAATAACCAAACTTCTTACATAGCAAAACACACTATAAGCAAAGTCAAAAAACTCAAAGATGAAAGCATAGTCTAATATATTAGGAACTCCTAGTAATCAGTGGGAAAAATGACAGCCCAAAAAGAAACAGGCAAACTCTACTAAAAAGGAAATACAAATGGGGCCAACTGGTTAGTATGCTGGTTTAGACAGCTGGCCTCACATGGCTGACAGTGCAGTTGGAGTCTCAGATCCGGCAGCTTGAAATACAAGCCAGACATGTGTGCATGCATGCCCAAAATCCTGAGAGAAATGATCATTCCCCCGAGTGGTGCTGTCTCACTGTCTCTCTGTCTCTCTCTGGTGAATACAAATACCCTATAGCAAACTAAAATAAGAAGAAAATACAAATGGTCCCTGAACATAGAAAAAAATGTTCATTCTCATTAGAAGAGAAACACAACTGAGGGGCCTGAAGGTGGTGCAGTGGTTTAAGGGTGCTGAACTCCCACATGGCCAACAGCGGTTCAAGTATTGGACCTGGCAGCTTGCTTTCTCACTTTCTCTTTCTTGCTCTCCGTCTGTCCTTCTCTGGTCAAATTATAAATAAAAAAAAGTTAAAATAAAAAATAAAATAATTATCGGGGG